GGGGGATCTTATTAATACTTACAAATACTCCAAGGGAGGTGCCAGGGGGATGGGCACAGTCTTTTTTCAGTGGTGCCCAGTGATGGGACAAGGGGTAATGGGCACAAACTTGAACATAGGAAGTTCCATCTTAACATGAGGAGGAACTTCTTTACTTTGAGGGTACTGGAGCAGTGGCACAGGCTGCCCAGAGAGGTGGGGGAGTCTCCCCCTCTGGAGCCATCCCAAACCCGCCTGGACGCCGTCCTGTGCCACTGCTGGAGGTGCCCCTGCTCTGGTGGGGGGTGGGATGGGGGAGCTCCAGAGGGCCCTTCCAGCCCTCACCAGTCTGGGATGCTGTGATGGGCTTTACAGCACCGATGTGCAGGCAGAGCTGGATTCCTCCAGCGGCTCCTTCCCAAAATCACCGAGCCAGCAGAAGAGGGATCCTTGCAGGCAAGTCAGGAGCGTGGGGTCCAGCTCCTGGCGCTGCTACAGGCAGGGCTGTCCCTGGAAGCCATAGCTCAGTGCGCTGCTGGTGCATCGAAGGTGTTCGGTGAGGCAAACCGGCCCCATCACAGCAGCCACGTAGCTTCTTTTTGACTTTTCTGGCTCATTTCCCCTGCAGGATTAGTCTGTATTTGTGACTGCTTCATCAGCCTTAAATGATTTAATAGGAACAGCCTGAGTGGGACTCATCAGCTAAAAATAATAACTTTACTTAAACGTTGACCATATTTAGGCAAATCTCCCTTGCAGGGAGATCAATCCCCTGCCCTCGGGGGGAACCGGCACCCGTCACTCCCTTGTACGCGGTCTCCCTACTTACGCAGCCTCGCTACTCCTCGGCGATCTCGGTCTCCTGGTGCACAACCACTTTGGTGACCGACATGTCGGGGTGCTGCTCCTTCGCCGCCTTTATCGCCTGCGCTAGAACCTGAAAGAGGAAAAGAAAAGGGATTCCACTTCAGCTGCACATTCTGGTGACTTTTGGAAGTATCGGATTATTTCTGAAAGGAAAAGCTGTTTTCTAAGAATCCGCCCCGTCTCTCCACTGCCCCACGGTAGGAGACGGATGAGAGCAATTAAGCAAACCCTGTTTATTCTTCCAGCAAGTGCGATGAGCGCACTTCTGACATCTTCTCAGACATTTTCTTTTGGAATTAATAACCTAGTTCTTGTCGTACGAATATTCTCCAGCCCCATGATACTTGCAACTGAAATTAAATTCAAAGTATAATTCTCTGATGACAAAATCATCCCTTCCACCACCCGCCAGAGGCCAATGGGGCTGACTCATCAGAAAGGCTTCAGATAAAGCCAATGAGATTTAATGCAGGTGCTGAGTGCTACGGAATGACTTCTGGCATTATACAGCAGCAACAGCGCCTCAAAGTTACTAGAAAATTAATGCAGATCATGCAGATGCCAAGGAGAAGTTTAATTTCATGTTTTTGTGGATTTTTTTTTTTCTTTAAACTGTACGTGTCCAAAACAATTCTGGAATCAAAACTTTGCCTCCGACGCCAGTTTCAGAGCAGAATTCAGCTTCGTTGGCTCAGCTATGCAGCTGCGTACTGTCAGAGAAGCATTTATTATTGAAATCAGTTTTGAGGTTTTATTTCTACCCCAGGAAAATTTCCCTAGGTTGTTTTCTGGTGAAGTTGTTGTCTTGGGAAAGGCAGCCGGTCTAGTCTGTGCCAGCTCCGACAAGCTCGTTTGGACCACATCCGAGCTCCTACCTGGTCGTGGTCTACATCTGCATCTCCTGTGATGACAATCCTCTTTTCAATCCGCGTCTCTGAAATGCCACCTTTTACAGTCTGGTACAAAAGGGAAAACTACTGTTAGTCTAGAAGCGAAAAGGAATTTGAGTGCATCGGGGCTGCCTGTCTAACGTCGGTAATCCAAAAATAGCCTTACCAAATACTGCTCTCATACCGCGGTACCAGAATCACAGGGGAAAACTGCCGCTGCTCAAAGAAAAACTGTCAAATATTAATTTTCTTATAACTGAGCCAGGGAAGAGCTTTGACTCACAGGACAGTTCTTTCCTCTTGTGCCACAGGACAGCCAGAGCCCATATCCACAGGTTGCGCTGCACTTCATACATAACCTACAGTCTAAACTCAGTGCTGGCAAACCTGGGATCCTCATGCTTTGTTTCAGGTATTAATAACATTTTTTTAAAAGAACCAGGGTTTATTCAACCCTGCCATCTCTCTATTGTGTTGCCATTCAGCGTGACTGGGACAGGCTGGACTGGCAGAGAGAAACCTTACAAAATTCAACAAGGGCGAGTGTAGGGTACTGCATCGGGGGAGGAATAACCCCACGCACCAGTACAGGTTGGGGCTGACCTGCTGGAGAGCAGCTCTGTGGAAAGGGACCTGGGAGTCCTGGGGGACAACAGGATGCCCATGAGCCAGCAATGTGCCCTGGTGGCCAAGAAGGCCAATGGCATCCTGGGGGGCATCAAGCAGAGTGTGGCCAGCGGGTGGAGGGAGGTCATCCTCCCCCTCTGCTCTGCCCTGGGGAGGCCACATCTGGAGCGCTGTGTCCAGTTTGGGGCTCCCCGGGTCAAGAAGGACAGGGAACTGCTGGAGAGGGTCCAGCAAAGGGCTACGGAGATGATGGGGGGACTGGAGCATCT